TCTCCCCTCCCTCCTCCCCACCAACCACCAACGGGGGTCTCTGTGGCTCTGGCGCTGCCCTTCGTGCTGTCATTGCTCCTTTGGGGCTCCCTCAGAAGATGGCAGTTGGTGATGGGATTCTCGTGAGAGGAAATGAGAGTGAAAGCTGCCGCTGGGCTGCCTGCCTTCTCAGGAGGCCAGTGGCTGTAAACATGGCCTGGGCTATGCTTTGCAGGCACGGTCAAGCTGTGCGTGACCAGCCTTAGCGTGACCAAGCTGATGGAGCAGTCGAATGGGAGCTGTCTGGCTGCTGTGGTTATGGCCTACTGCTCCGTGCTTCCAGTGTTGCTGTTGAAATGATTATGGAAGGGTTTTGCAGCTTTGACTCCTTCTAAGGATAGCAGCAATAGGATGACGTTGTAACATATAAATGGTTTGTGACTTGGTTTTCTTTCTGAGGGTTAAAAGCAATAAGACTCATCCTAGAGAAAGTGAAAACCAGTTTAGGAGAGTGGTGTTTTCCATCCTTATAGTAGCAAGTAGTTAGGCCTCCATTCTCAACAGTTAACAGTAAATGTACCGTATGATCTGGTCTGCCATATTAAGACTGATTCTCATGTTTTTTGCTCTTATTTTCTCCCTTTTTCTCAGTGGCAGGTCGAGGAATATTTTGTTGACGTGTCAAAATCCACTTTAACATTTAGTTTCTCTTCATCTGTGGAGGAAGATAGTCATATTTAGGCTTTATCTTTGCGCCCACATTTCACACTCTGAACTTAAAGCGTCCTTTCACTTTTTTTCACAGGGAGGATGGTTGTTTTTTTCCACCATGAGCTTTCCAGCTGAGCACAACACAAGGACATCAGTGTAAATGCTCTGGCGATCTGAGATAGCTCAGGCCCAGCTGCTTTTGGAGTTCAGAGAGCATGTTTGAGTATGCAGACTTTCTAAGAGTTACCTAAAGTAACACTGTTCAGAGTGTTGTTACAATGCTTAGCATGCATGAAATTTGTGTCCTCATGCTCTGCAGAAGGGCTTTGGTCGTAGATTCTTCTGGTTTAGATCAGGGATGTGGTGTAAGAAGCAAGTAAGGAGTGCCTTATTTGTCAGGTTTTTGGACATCTGCATGGAAAATTGTTTCCTTGGCCTATTACACCAGAAGATTTAATGTATCAGGATTCAGCCACCGACAAGCAATTCATAAATAATCCCTCTGACAAAGTGGGGCCACCCAGGATGCTAGGTACAGAAGTTCTTCATCTTCCTAGTGCTGACTTTTCTCTGAGCTAACAAATACAGACTTCCAGTTTTCTTCCTCTGAAGAATGAGCTGTAGGTGACTGCTTAGGATAGGCAGCTGTACTGTTTTGCTCTGGAATGTAATAAATTCTCTCAGTTCTGTCCCAGAATCTATGGCATACTTGTGTTAGAGAGGAATGTTCTGGGTCAGTCTGAATTTCTCAGTGAAGTAATCCTAGATTTAAATCAACTTGACTGGAGCTGGAATCAGGTGGTTCCCAGCGGGGTTGCAGGAGTGCAGCAGGGTTCCCTTCCCTCAGGTCAGTGTGCAGCCATATTGCGTATGGGGACGGAGAACTGGAACTGCTGCACTCGTGTCAGAGCACGTGAATCATAATCATAGAATGGCCTGGGTTGAAAAGGACCACGATGATCATCCAGTTTCAACCCCCCTGCTATGTGCAAGGTCAGCAGCCACCAGACCAGGCTGCCCAGAGCCACATCCAGCCTGGCCTTGAATGCCTCCAGGGATGGGGCATCCATCCTCCTTGGGCAGCCTGTTCCAGTGCATCACCACCCTGTGTGTGTGGATTCTTCCCTCTGGATAGCTGTGGAGCACATAGAGTGCTCAGCTGTTTTGGGGTCCAGTCTTGCAGTCAGCTTTTCCTCTCGCCCTCCAGTGGACTCCAGCGAGGCTCTCTCTGCCTTCTGTTAGAACTGCTGGGTTGCATCAGTAGTTAGCATGTGGACCTCAAGTTAGCGTGGTCAGCAGCAGATATCTTCAGCAGAGCAGAATGTTTCTGGAAATGATCTGTACTATTGTTGTTTCTCCTTTGTCCCAGAAGACAACTTAATGCTTCAAAGTGATTTTTGAAATTGTGTTTTGTTATCTTTGCCTATGACAGAGATGACTGATGACACAGGGTGCTGGTGGGAAACGTGGTGAGCATAGGAGGAGAAAATAAGGGGTATTTATACAAGGGAGAAGAGATGTAATGAAACACTTGCAGCAAAACAAACATTAGAATTTGCATTGCTGGCTGTAAGTTGAATTAGATCTGCCATGCTTTTTCCAACAGTGTAACTCCTACCTGTTAATATGTTCAGGTTCTTCTTTTTGGTCTCTTAGCCTTTGTCATTTTGTAATTTCCTTTAGGAAGCAGTTTAAAGAGCAAATGTGGCTACTGTCTGAACAGATAGTCCTGTAATTAAGGTAATGCAAGCAGTATTTCAAATCTACTTCAGTTTTATCAGGCTTTCCTCTAGTTACCAGTTGATGAAAACTGCTTTGGGATTTCTGTAGCTTTTGGTTTGTTTTGTTGACTGTAATTTTTCCAGTGGAATTTTAAAGTAAATAATAATTTATAATGTATCCAGTAAGTAACTGCTTCATACTACTCTAATTCAGTAGTGTTACAGATTTTGGCCAGAAGTTACTGTTTTGTTTACTGCATCCCTGAGTCATAGGAGAGTTCTTAACCTTCTGAGGTGCGTGAAATTAACTGAGTAAATAAAACTTCTGTGAGAGAACAGTAACTTGGCATTGCTTGATGCTTAGGACGTTTTTTAGCAGAGTCAGAGATGTTTGAAAGAAGATCCTCTTTTTTCTTTTTTTTTTTCTTTTTTCCCCCCTGGTGGATTTGTTTTGTTTTGTGGTTTTGTTTTGCTGTGGCTGGTTTAAAAAGGGAGGTGTTACTTATTGCCTTGGTTGTAGTGTTGTACACAGACTATCAGGCTTTGCTGACCTTGTTTCCTTTTTGTTCTTCCTTGTTTTGTACTTGAGGCATATGGTTTGATAAGAAAGGGGAGAAGGCTGGAGAAGGGGAGAAAGGGAAATAGCAATTGTCTTCTTAAAAATTACTCTTGAGATGGAAGGAACTTGTGATTAGAGATTTCTCCCATGCTTTTCATCTATCCATGTTTTAAGTGTAATCTAAGCTTCAGTGAAAAATAAGAGGCACGGCTGTACCAGCAGCTTTGTCCCAGGAGAGGGATCACAGGGTCACAGAATGGCCAGGGTTGGAAGGGACCTCAAGGATCCTGAATTTCCAACCCATTTAACACTTGACCAGGTTGTCCAGGGCCCCATGCAATCTGGCCTTGAACACCTCCAGGGACAGGGCACACAACCACAACCTCTCTGGGCAGCCTGTTCCAGCACCTCACCACTCTGTCTGTAAAGAGCTTCCCCCTGACATCCAACCTAAATCTCCCTCAACCATTAAAACCATTTCCCCTTGCCCTGCAGTTATCTACCCTTTCAAAGAGTCGATTCCCCTCCTGTTTGTAGCCTCCCTTTAGGTATTCAAAGGCTGACCTAAAAATGGCTACACTGAAAGGAACCTCAGGGATGGCTTTGGGTTAGAATGGGCACAGGGCATGTTTGTGTTGCTGTAGCTATCATAGTATTGGTTTCTAGGAGGGAGAGAGAGAGTGAACTGTGAGAATATTGTGCTCGTGTCAAGGGGATGAAAAGGAGTGAAAATGCTGCAGAAACGTGCAAATTCCCAACTAACTAAATTCTTCTGTTTGTAATTTATGTTGGTATTTCCAGGTTTGGAGCAAGCCGTGGTGGTCCTCTTCCTCCAAAGAAGTTTGGTAACCCAGGGGAGCGCTTACGAAAGAAAAAATGGGACTTAAATGAACTGCCCAAGTTTGAGAAGAATTTTTACGTGGAACATCCAGAAGTGGCCAGGCTTACTCCAGTAAGTTTTTACATACAACAAAAAGTGTCACAACTGGAAAGCTTTGTTCTAGGGCCTCTAGAACAGTGCGTAATAAAACTGTCTCTTCATTAATCTTGTTTGGCATGTTTGTCCTCTGCTGCCTCACACTTGTAGTTGCTGTCGCTGTAACGTCAGCAGAAGTGATGCTTCTGTTTTCAGCCATTTTTATACATGGTATTTTATGTTTGGCCACTTGCAACTCACCACCAAAACACTGCTGTGATCTGCTTACATGAGATTGACAAATGAAATGTCATCCTTTGTCAGTGCAGATGCAAATTAGAGGACTTCAGAGTTTCTCTGCTGGGGAGGCCCTGAAATCAACTAAGATTGGTTCTAATACTTGAGGAAGATTTGGGAGAAATATAGTTTTGTGATAGCAGTTCAGGCTGAAAAAAGGAACTTCACAGAATGGCCCGGGTTGAAAGGGACCTCAAGGATCATGAAGCTCCAACCCCCTGCCACGTGCAGGGCCACCAACCTCCATATCTAATACTAGACCAGGCTGCCCAGGGCCCCATCCAATCTGGCCTTGAACACCTCCAGGGACGGGGCATGCACAACCTCTCTGGGTAGGCTATTCCAGCACCTCAGCACTCTGTAAAGAACTTCCCTCTGGCATCCAGCCCAAATCTTCCCTCCATCAACTTCAAACCATTTCCCCTTGTCCTGCAGTCATCAACCCTTTCGAAGAGTTGTTTTCCCTCCTGTTTGTAGGCTCCCCTTAGGTACTGAAAGGCTGCCATGAGGTCACCCCGCAGCCTTCTTTCCTCCAGGCTGAACAAGCCCAGCTCCCTCAGCCTGTCTTCATAGGGGAGGTGCTCCAGTCCCCTGATCGTCTTTGTGGCCCTCCTCTCATCCAATGCTCTGCTCAGAGCTCAAGCAGTTTGCTTAATGCCTTGTCCTTCTTAGTTCAGATGTCCCAGGGATGATTAGAGTGTGTATCCTTCTGTGTGGCTGTCTCAGGTCTTAATGTTTCTCATGGTATTTTTTTCATCAATAACTAATTGAAGTTTTTAAGGTCTGACTCCATCTTCTCTAAAGTAGCTCACAACAAAGAGCTGAAAGTAGCTGTTAGACTCCCTTATTTAGCCTGGGAGAGGGGACTAACAAATCCACTGCTCCTGGTCTGTTTTTGTAGCCTGTCCTTAGCCTCTGCCTTCCACTGCTGCAGTTGCACATGCCCTGCTAACTGGTGTCCTTGCTACTCTTTGGGTTCAAACCTGGACAGCCACTTCCCCTGATCCTAAAACTGTCCTTTTCTGAATACACATTTCAGAAATGCTATTTTAAAGTATTAGGACGTTAGTGTGTCATTGTGATGTTGCCTGGGCTTCTTAGAAGCAGGAAGGAAATTCTTTGGTATGTTTTAATGGAAAGAGAGGGACTGCCCTGCCTTCACCTTGTTTGTAGTATGGCAGGGCCTGTTTTATTTATTGGGTTCTCAGTACTGCAGTATAGAACATGCTTAGTCTGTCCCTCTGCTTCTGTTCACGTTCGAAGCTGTTGATAAACTCTGGCCTTGGAAGAAGGAAAAAAGCCTTTAAAACCTGGCATTGGTACACTTGTTTTTAGAAAGGCTGGTTGGAAGAAAACAGATGCTAGGCTTTGTAGAGAAGCCTTACCTCTGATTGGTTGAGAGCCTGTGTGACAGCTTGATCTAGGGTGAAATCCTAAGGAAAGCAGTCATTTTGAGATCTTGTCGATCTGATCTCCCTAAGTAAGCTGTTAGGTAGAGGTGTGAAGCAACTTAATAATTAGAAGCACGTGCTTGAGGATCCTGCTGAAATTTGGCATTTCTTTGCATTTTTTTTTCTCCATGTAAATAGTATGAAGTTGAAGAACTGAGAAGGAAGAAAGAGATAACAATTCGAGGAATGGAGGGCTGCCCCAAGCCTGTGTTTGCCTTCCACCAATGCAGCTTTCCACGTAAGTATTTTGCCTTTCTTTAAGAAAATGAGGATTACTCAAAAGCAGTAAGTTCTGTTTTTACAAGGTTTTCTGAAACTACATTTAGCTTCAGTTATCCTTAAAAAAATTGTTTCCTTCCTGAAATGTGTAGAGTATGTGATGGATGCCCTGATGGACCAGAATTTCACAGAACCCACTCCAATTCAGTGCCAAGGCTTTCCACTTGCTCTCAGTGGTCGTGATATGGTGGGCATTGCACAGACTGGCTCTGGGAAGACACTCGCAGTATGTATTCTTCCCTTTCCTCTCCAGACTTATTTTCACTGTTGCCTTGTGGAATTTACCCTTGGCTGCTTGTTACTAGTGTTTGGTCTTAGTACTACAAGCACGCAGTGAGGCTTTTGCATGTTTTTAAAGCTTGCTTTATTGCATCGTGGGTGAGCCTCAGCTCATCTAACCTGTCTCATCCACAGGCGTGTTTTTTGCGTGCTTCTGTTTTGATGTTGAAGCACTTCTTTTGTCCGTGCTTACGGTGTGGTTTAGGAAATAGTATGTGCTCCATGGTGTATTTGTCTTACTAAATATGAAAATCCAAAGAAATGATGGCTGAGTCTTCATTAATGTATTAATTTTATCTGCAGTGGTCAGGAAGGTATTTCCTTCTTTACGAGAAGCATTGTTTAAAGCCAGGATGACTCAATTCTACTAATTTAGGCTCCAAATGTGCCTTTTCTTCAAAGGTACTAAGCAGCCAAGTTTTCCACCTATGCCAAAAGCAGCTGAGGCGGCTCTGTCCAGCAGCTCTAGAAATCTCATCTTCTGAATAAATACAAGCATGGTTTTGCAGGTGTTAACAGAGATGAGATTTATTCCTATCTCTGAAACATGTAGTGGCTTTTGAAGGGATGTCAGGCAAAGTGGGCTCTTCCCATGGCCCAGTTGTCACAGCAGGTGGTCGTTAGTGTTGAATGTTGGAGTCCTCTGTCTTGACAAAGTTTTTTTTGTTCCAGTACCTGTTGCCTGCAATTGTTCACATCAACCACCAGCCATATTTGGAGAGAGGGGATGGCCCAATTGTAAGTGCTTGTCAAACCTCTTCTTTTATCTGCATGGCATGGCAGCGTTAATGAGATGTGTGATTTAATTGATAAATCATAATAGTAAGTAGAGCACATTTACAATCACAGTGTGAACATCCTGCTCATTAGTTGAAATTCTGTGTAATTCCTGACATGATCTGAAGATGTTTCTATGTTTTAGCTATTAGTGAGCAGATGGTCTGGCTTTGCTTACGGCATTTGAGCAGAGCCCTTAAGTTAGGGCCGTGTCTACAGCTTGACTAACCTGAATGGATTCCTTCTGCAGTGCCTGGTTCTTGCACCTACCAGGGAGCTGGCCCAGCAGGTGCAGCAGGTGGCTGATGATTATGGCAAATGTTCAAGGCTGAAGAGTACCTGCATTTATGGAGGAGCACCCAAAGGTCCCCAGATCAGAGATCTAGAAAGAGGTAATCTAAATTAGATCTTGAAATGTGTGTTTGCAAATTTCTGGAGTGGTGTTTTTTAAAAACAAACAAACAAAAAAAAAAACAAAAAAACAACCTGTGTATTTGAGAGTGATCTTGAAGCCTGTTTGAAGAGGTATTAGTGACTGAGAAGCTGTCTCTTCTTCCACTTGCAATGATAGCGTTGTATAATGGCTTATTTGGATATTAGACTTCCTTTCCATTTTATCTTTGAACTTGTGAAGGTCACTAGAACTTGTTCTTAAGGACTAAGCTTTCTGCTCGTGGCACCTCCATAAAATTCTGCAATTACCTTTCCTAGCATAGCAAAGGGATGGAGTTAAGAATAATAAGGTGCCATGTTTCTGCAGCAACAGCAGTAGTGCTCTGGTGACCCAGCCTTATACCAAGGGCTATCTGCATGTAATTTCAAAGGCAGGAATGTTCTGAGGGTCTGATCTTCTCTAGGCTAAGTAGAAGTGGATATAATTGTGCAAGAAGATGTAAGATAAAGCTTACACGTGCAGATCTGCACAAGGAATCAAAAGTTTTTACTTACCACTGTGGTTTGAAGAGTTACTGTTGAACACTGCAGTATCAGGGTAACAATGTGTGGTAGAAGGCTGTGGGATAGTTCTGTTCAGTAGAGCAGCAGTGCACTCCTGTTCAGAAGCAGCATCATCAGTGGAGGAGACAATGTTATATGAAAAGACAGTGAGGGGGTCAACTTGGTGAAATTTGGCATACTTTCTGTAGTGCTGTGCAGTGGATGAAGGAGACTTGTTAGTTAGAGAATTTGGGCAGATAAGAGTTACTGTCTTTGGAGCGTTGCTTACTATTTGCTGCAGGAAAGATTGTTGGCTAGAGCTCATTGAACACACTTTTGACTTGGTTGTGATTTCCTTTGTATCTGGTGAATTTGCTTTGGAGGAATACGTCACTGATAACAAAGTGCAGTTTTTTCAGTGTCCTTAGCAAGCCTATGACTCTGCTAGAAGTCTAATTCTTGCATGAGCTTTGCCAGCTTCGTCAGCTCTGAGGAGCCCAAGTTGACACAAACAGAAAGATCAGGGCTGCCCCAGCATACTGTGCATCTGCAAGTGAAGCATCGATGAAAGTATGAGGTTTTTGTGCTGCTGTTTGTTTGTTTGTTTGTTTTTTTGTTTCTCAATTCATTACTTGGCTAAACTTAATGTTTGTGGGTATTTCTATAACACTTGCTTCTGAAGAACTCGCCTCCAAGGCTTGAAAGTTGAGGGACCCCTTCCACCATTTTAAGGAATATGTAAATTAACATCCTTGATGCTTCTTTGTGAATACTTGAATTCTGTTTTTATGCTGGCAGCTACGGGTTTGGTGACTGTCATAATTATAGCATTATTATTCAATATTAAAGGCCATGATTTTAATCTGTGATTTAAAACTTAAAAGGAAAAAAAAGGAATTGAAACTAATTTGACCTGTGCAGCAAGGGAGACGCTTGATGCTTGTTGAACAGATTGAGTTTAGTTGTAGGTCACTGTTATTTTTCCTAGAGAGCTCTCTAGATTGTATAAGCATGGATGAAAGGGGGTCAGAGTTGAGTAGAAGCTTATTTTGGTTCTGGTTTTTGGGCAGCTGGTGTTCTGTGCTCTTAGCCGGTGTTTTCTGACAGTAAGCTTTTAGCTTCTGTACTGCATTTATTGTTCTAATGGTTCTAATTACATTAATACTGTAATGGTATCTTCAGAATGGGGAAAAAAATGAATTATTAAAAGAAACTAGGGCTTCTACTGAAATGAGTCAATCTTGGATATGGAAGAGGGTGGTGCTTTTTCATTTTATTGAAGCGATTTTGCTCTAGAAGGTGATTCATTCTGACTAAAAATACCAATTGACATTCAAATGAAGAGCCTTATTCTTTTTTCCTCCTGTTTCGAAGGTGTGGAGATCTGCATTGCTACACCGGGTCGCTTGATTGACTTCCTTGAGGCAGGGAAGACCAACCTTCGTCGGTGTACATACCTCGTGCTGGACGAAGCAGACAGGATGTTAGACATGGGCTTTGAACCCCAGATCCGCAAAATTGTTGACCAGATCAGGGTGTGTGAGCCTTGTAAAAGAACAGCCTCCTTCGGTTTCCCATCTGAAGTCCACAACCTTAAACCTTTCTCCCTTTCTCTTAGCCTGACAGACAGACCCTGATGTGGAGTGCCACCTGGCCCAAAGAAGTGCGCCAGCTTGCTGAGGACTTCCTGCAGGACTATGTTCAGATCAACGTGGGGAACTTGGAGCTGAGCGCCAACCACAATATCCTGCAGATAGTGGATGTGTGCATGGAGAGTGAGAAAGACCATAAGTACGCTCATTTTTCCCTAGAGTTTCAGTTTTTTTGGCTATATTTTAATATCAGCGTTGTCAAATATGAATTCTGAGTAGTGAATTTACTTTGAGGTATTACTTAACCTTTGAATGTTACCAGGCAAGTAAGTCCTGTATTTATCCAATCTATTGCATACGTAATCGTAGTCGTAATCGTAATTGCATTCTTAATTGTAGTACTGGACAAAAGACCTAAATTTTGTGAAAGTGGTGCTGGCTTTATCGCTGTGTGTGTGTGCTCAGTGCTCTCATGTCTATTTTAGACTGATACAGCTAATGGAAGAAATCATGGCGGAGAAGGAAAATAAGACCATCATCTTTGTGGAGACAAAGAGACGATGTGATGATCTCACTCGAAGGATGCGCAGAGATGGGTGATTAACTCCCTCCACCCTTTGCTTGTAGTGAGAAACAGAAGCTGTAATAAAAGCAGCAAGGTTTAAACGTTTGCCATGCTGTTGTTGGGAACAACCTGTCCGTTTGGTTCTTGGCTGAATTCAGTCTTGATTTCCTGGAATATTCCAGTCCATCAAAGCATTAATGCAAGAGAGAATATTTGTCAACTGTGCAGCTTTCAGTACCTCAGAATACTGATGTAATGAACTGGCAGGAGCAGCATCAATATAGCAAATGTGATTTGGCTTAGATGGCTGCTATATGGTTAGTGGGTTTAATATGCAAGAAACATTCTAGGTGCATCTGAATGTGCAAGCGTACATTCTGGGTAGGTAAAGGCCAGAGGAAGGAGATGGGGAATAAAAATATTTCTCAAATGCTTTATTTTCTGCCTTCTTTCTGAAATGCCAGTAAAGCTTCCTGTTGCCTTTAATATATGTACTTTCTGTCTATACTAATGTATGTCTCTGTTTGGCAGTTGGCCAGCTATGTGTATCCATGGAGACAAGAGTCAGCCAGAAAGAGATTGGGTGCTTAATGGTGAGTCCATCACTGAGGGGGAGATAACTCGGGCTGCTGCATGTAACTTATTAAGACGTGCTGTTCTTAGGCTTTCTTTTGTCTCTGTGCCCAATAGATACGTTTCAGAGGATTTTCTTTTGCCTTTACTGTTAATTTCAGTGGTTGTATTTGACCAAAATGCAATGGGAAAATTAGCTTAACCTGTGACGCCAGATTATGGACAAGTAATTGATGTGCTATTTCCTGACTTGTTGGGTTTTCTGACATTGACATACGTATTACCAAGATTGTGGAAAGCGAGCATTTAATGTAAATCAAGTTCAGATAAGGTTATCTTGTTTTGAAAAGTCTTGCTTCATAGCATGCTTTGTTTTACAGAGTTTCGCTCTGGAAAGGCTCCTATCCTCATTGCTACCGACGTTGCATCTCGTGGGCTAGGTTTGTACACATAGACCACTCTTGCCTACTGCTGCATATTTTTCTTCTATGGCCTGAAATGCTTTCTTTTTTTTTAAAAAAAAAAAAAAAAAAATCAAAGCGTGATTTTCCCCCACATGTGAAATACGTTTTTTAACATTAATCTTTTTTTTTTCTTTCATATTCAAAGTCTCTTCCTGCTCCTAATGAACAGGCTTTGGTCTGCAGCAAGGCCTAGGCATGACTAATCGATCGCCAAGAGGGAGAAGAGACGTCCAATTATGCAACCCAACCCTTCCACCACACTCACCTCTTCCCCAAATCCAGCTTTTGTTGCTGGATTATAGGGGTGGATTGCTCTGTTCAGAGCGTGCCAGATAAAGCCCAAGTAGGAAGTTGTGGGAGAGCATTTCAACAGCAAATAGCTAATATTCTCCTGCATAGCACACCGCAGATTGAAACATACAAACCCCAACATATACACATCTTTACCCTGCAGATGTGTTCACATCTGAGAAAGCACTGCTCTAGATTTTTGATTTTGACGTGTAATTCCCCTCCTCTGTGTTCCTTCTAGGCAGGATCACTGAGCTTACATATGGCCATGAACAGTGTTGCCCAGTATTGTAACTGAATCAAAATTGCACCGCTCAATTCTGGTAGTATGAAAATGATCTGGATGGATCAGTTGCACCCCCTTCTTAAATGAGCATACTTGGACTGTGAAACACTGTGCTAGGCACAGCCCTTAAGCATCTGCCCACTCCAGAAGGGGAGGATGACTTCTGAAGTGCTGAGTTTAATAACGCGCACTGAATATTCCAACCTCCCCGAGTGGCAGAATATAAACCACTTAGGGGTTAGTGTCTTGTAGTGGTGAATTTTAGATAAAATTATTGCTCATCATTGCAGATAACATCTGGAAAATCTCAGGTTTATTGGAAGTCACCGTTATTTGAACTCTATTTTTCATATGCTGAAAGGGTGGCTGTGCTGTGCATCTCATGGTCACTTGAACGCAGGCAGACCATTAGCAGATGTGGCAGCCTTTGTTCACACAACCTGCACCCCTCCTTCCCCTCCCCATTCAAAAAATGTCCAACACTTCCTCAGAGAGGTGATTATACGGACTTCAGTCTCTGCCCTCTAGGGTCATGTCTGGACCTGTGCAGTTAGAACTTGGGCCTGTTGGGAGAAGGGACAGAGGCCTGAAACTAGTTTGTATGAAAGAGAGCTGCTTTCTCTAGCAGCGTTTTTTAAACAGGCTTGCTATGTGCTGGTAGCTTCTTTGTGCATCTTGCCTAGACATTTAAAACAGCCTCACCCCCCTCAAAAACACTCACTGAAACTACTCAATTGGATAACACTTCAGAAAACAGTCTCCCCACTTCCCATCCTCCACTTCACCCAAGCTGTGGGGGAAAGGTACCAGAGTCTGTTTCTTGTTACTGAACAACATCTCTGCTTGTTTTGGGGCCCTGAGTTTGCTGCTTCTTAAAATAAGTCACTTAACTGGCAAACTTCTGGACGACTTCCTCCAAGATCCTGGAAAGTGAAGGCTTCTACCTAAATAACATAAAACAGGGGCGCGCGCCTTTTGGCTGAGTCACCAGGGCTTTCCCTCTTCTTAATGGAACATTGGTTTCAAAAAAGCTTCTGCCAGGTAAGTTCTGAGTCCCATAATGACTTCTTTGTGATAATTCCCTGGAGTGAGGTCCTCTCTCTGCACTGATTTTTTTTTTTTTTTTTTTTTTTTTTTCTTTTTTTTTTTTTGTTCAGTCTATTAAACTAAAAACATTGAATTTGTTTTGTTTTGTTTTCTTTAACAGAAACTTTGATATCAGCTACAGATCATTCTCAGTGCAGGGGTGGGGGCACATCTACATTGATGGTCAAACCAGCTCTCTAGACTAGCATGTTTGCTAGTTTGTCCCTTCTAATGAATACCATAATCGGAGACTGTCTGTGCCATAGGATACTCTGATGGCCTGACAAAGGGCATGTTTCCCAAATAGCTGTCAAAAAATGATTGACGGTTTCAATTTTAGTTCCTGCCACACGATCTTCTGAAAGTGCAGGAAGATTGTGAGCGCGCACAAACACTTTGGAGCATGCTAGACTGGAGAAGCCGAGTCTTGTACTTGCTCGGGTATTTCTTCAGCCAGCTGCGTGCTCTGCCAGGTTCACTTTCTAGTCTGGACGACAGTCTTACGTTTTCCTCTTCCTGCCTTCCCATTCTTCCCAGTCCTCCCCAGTCAAGTCAGTGCTGTCTACATCGATAGCTCCGCTTCCCTGCGCTTTCTGCTGGGAAAGCACATCCTTTATCCTCTGTGGTAATTCACATTGCTTTGCTACTGATGGATGTGCGTAATGGGGCTGACTGAGGATCATGTAGCCTGCAGCTTGTCAAACTAGTTGTACCCTGGCTGTGAAGATGCAATCTGTCATGTGAACTCCTCTCTGTTTCGCTTTCCCCTTCTTAAAAAACCTGTTGCATCAAGGACCCTAGCTGGAGACTCGCGCAGCCCCCTGTGAAACCTGCCTTCTCACTCCCTTTTTTTGGTGTGATTCAGGACTTTGGAGCCAGCAAAGACTGAGGAGCCCCCCCTTTGCTGTAATAAGAAACAGACATAAAGTCCCCCTCCTGCCACTACAAGCCCCCTCATTTTTATTTTTTCCTACGACCCCTTTGAAATTGACGCAGTCTGGGCAATAGATGCAGTCTGACCCTTTGGATGTTGTTTTTCGCATCTCCTTTTTTTGTCGTTGACAAATGCCCCCTAAGAGCCCCAAATCGGGGCCAGAAAGCGTTGGAGGACCTGAAACTTTTACGTGAAGCCAGGTTCTCCGGCGCTTCCCAACCAAATGGGGCTACAGAGAAGCATCTAAGCCAGTTCACAGAGCGAGCGTGTGTGGGGACTTCTCGCTGCCACGGACCCTTGATGCATGCTCCCCGCGCTCCAGTGGTCCCGTGTCAGAGGGCGGAGTTTTCGAAAGGAGGCCGCCAAAAATAAAAGGCAAAGAGACGGGATCGGCTGCAGCGGTTTCCCACAGGAGGAGGGAGTGTGCATCGGTCTGGTAACAAACAGAGAATGTTTCTCTCTTTAAAACAAAAAAAGAAAAAAAAAAAAAAAAAAAAAAAAAAAAAAGGAAATCACAAAAATCTGTGTTTTATTTTGGATATTTTCAGAATATTCGTCTTAAAATGCAGATTTTTTTTTTTTCACGAGCTGTTAGGACACTTACTGTAAATCCATGCTTTTTTTAATGTTCTATACTGTAGCAAATAGGTGGTTTCGGTACTTTAGATGCTTTCACTGAAGTGTTACACTAACATTTGCTTTGTTTCTGTCCCATGAGTTTCTGAAGTCTCCCTGGAAGGTGTGCGGCTCCAATCTCTTGTAGTATTCTTTACCCAGCAGTTTTGATCCCTTCACTTCCTGCTTCAATCTGATGTGGGAAGTTGGGAACTGTAAACAGAATGCAGGATGGCCCAAATTACCAAAGCTTGCCCGAAGTGGACAGAACAACACAGTGAAATGTTAGTGCAATGCCTTCTTGTGATGACTATGCAGCTAAGTTAAGATACCGTAGGTACGATCTGTACAGTTTTTAATGAGTTGTCTGAATAGTAGTGTGATTGGAGAGCCTTAAACTTGAGGCCAGGGGAAGTAGCTCACCGTATCTTCGTTAGGATTGTAAAAGTAAATATTTATAAGACTTGCGTTTTATTTCATGTTACCAAATGGAAGGTAAGTGATCTCATTACTGTTATTACTTGTTAGACTTCTCCCAACAGAGTAAAAGCTTGACAGTGGCAGTCCTTCCCTTCTTCCACCCCAGTTTGCTGTGTCAGATGGTGTGGTTTTCACCATCAGGATTGTGCTTTGGAAAAAAAAAAAAAAAGTACAGAGCTCAGCTTGTTCACCAACATCAATGAATTTAAGGCTGGAATACAGAGAAATGCATTCTGGGGAGGATGAATTTGAGTGCAGGGAGAAGCTGCTTGAAATCTACCACTGTTTTTCAGGACGCTGGTCTTTGTTCCCGATGATCTCAAATCCGAGTCTTCTACTCTTTTGGGATGAGTCTGTCTTGTATCTATTCCATGCATTTGCTAACTTGGTGTTGTTTTTTTTTTTTTCTTATTACTGTCACCTGCATTCGTGCTCCCCACCTTTCGTTGGCACGTCCTCTCTTCTTCTCCCCCTTTCCTCAACCCCACCCTTTCACTGTGCTTCGCACCCGGGCACTTCTCAAGATGTGGAAGACGTTAAATTTGTGATAAACTACGACTATCCGAACAGCTCTGAGGATTACGTGCACCGCATTGGCCGCACCGCGCGCAGTACCAACAAAGGTACCGCGTACACGTTCTTCACACCAGGAAACCTGAAACAAGCCAGGGAGCTTATCAAAGTGTTGGAAGAAGCCAATCAAGCCATCAATCCAAAGCTGATGCAGCTTGTGGACCACAGAGGAGGAGGAGGTGGTGGTGGAGGTAAAAACAACTGGGGGAGGGGCTGCATAGGGGGTAGGTTCCCATTTTGAGGGAGGGAAGATCGAAGGAGGATGAGGAAGTAATAAGTTTAAAAAGTAATAACTTTAAGATAAAACATCAGCAGTACATTTGTTTTGTACCTGAGATCTCCATGTGTTCTATAAATATTTCTTTTTTACAAGCTAGTAGGCCACTACTATAGCTTAGTCAGATTTTTGGTTCTTTTTCCCCCCCCTCCCTCCCCCAATAATATCCTCAAGGAGCTAATTCTACGTGAAGTAATTAATTTCTTGTAGCTCCTACCTAGACACAGATGCAGGATGCGTGTGCATGCACAAGTGCAATTAAAATCAGGGAACGGGTTTTCTGACTTCACCTTCAGTGGCTGAGACTATTTCTTCCTCCTCTCCCTGAAGGAATAATAAGTTTCATTACATCCCTAAGCTGGTCCTGTACGACTTCTGTTTCCTTTGTCTCCCAGTGCGCTCATTAACACTTCCTGAGCTTCATAGCTACACCTTGAACAAAACGCAGGGATGGATGCACACAGCTGTGCAAGTCGGGCGAATGGCTTTGCTCCTTGTGGGCAGTGCCCTGCCTGTAGAAGGGGGAGAAAGGGTGGCAATAATTACCAGAGTTCGTTGTTCAAAACTTGTTCACGGTACTGAATCTTAATGTATCCGTCGCCAGGAGGTCGTTCTCGTTACCGAACGAGCAGTTCAGTAAACAACCCTAACCTGATGTACCAGGAAGAGTGTGACAGGAGGCTCCGGGGAGTGAAAGAGGGCCGGAGAGACTCAGGTGGCTTCAGAGACCGTGAGCGTGGTGACAGTTACGCCAACGGAGCCAACAAGACCTATGGCAGTGCCTACGGGAGCCCAAATTCCGCTTTTGGGGCAGCACAGAGCCAGTATGGTTACACTCAAGGGAGCTATGGAGCAGCTGCCTATGGCACGAGTGGCTATGGCACTGCGGAGTACAGTGCTAGTGGCTATGGTGCCAGCACCACAGCTGCCACCGCTGGGAGAACCTCACAGAGCACTACCCAACAGCAGTATGCAGGGATGGTGGGGCGCTCAGGCCAGCAGCCGCAGCCGCTCATGTCACAACAGTTTCCTCAGCCCCCTGCCACTAATGTGATGGGCTATATGGGACAGACTGCCACCTACCAGTACCCACCCCCGCCCCCACCCCCTCCACCCTCACGCAAATGAGACCACTCGCCTGCTGGTGACCAGTGTTAGACCTCTTGCATTTAAAGGAACCTTTTCTTTCTCTTCTTTCCCATTGTGATGTCTCTCTCATGCAGGCTAGGCTTAGAATTCACCGTTCCAATCCCTTGAGCCCATCGAAAATGGCCCCCAGTAATCCACATTACTGACCCTATCTTTTTTTTTTCCTTTTTTTTTTTTTTTTTTTTAAAAAGAGATATATATAGTTGACTGGAAAATTTATTATTTTTTGTCTTGCATGTTGAGGAAATTGGAAATTTTATTTTCTCTAAAATAAATGAGTATAAGGCAGATAGGTCCCAGCTCGATCATCTTGGTGTCTAAGGTTTGTGTGAAAAAAAAAACCAACTTGCTTTGAGGGGAGGAAGTTTCTATTCTGTAATACATTAACTTAATTTCAGGAAGTATCCAGAGAGGTGGGAACCTTTGGGGAGCCAAAAAGCAGTTCATTTAACACGATAAATGCAAGGGAGCAATGCTCGCTTTTCCTAATCTTAATATATTTTTTTAAAGTAGCTCACTATTGTTGCTTGTAATCTATCATAGGTAACTCTCTATAGGAAAACTCTGCTCGTTTGTCTCAGTGCAGTGGTGTTCTGAGTAAATTGTTGGCATTCTCTGCAGCTCTGGTAGCAGCAGCCCATCTTCTGGTACCTGTAGGAGGTATCTGCAGTAGGGAGGTTGAGATTAAAACCCCTGTGTTGAAGACCAAACTTGTCTCGCATTCAATACCTGAAAACTAGGTAAAGTCACTGTAGGGCATTACTGCTGTGGTGTTCAGCCAAGTAAGTCCTTTCTCTTGCAGTTGTTAAACTGCACAGTCGTTAATGCCTGAAACCTGGCTACCCTTAAACTAGTTTCTGCTCTCAAGTTCCTACTGTTGGGTTTATGGAGATAAGTCTTATTTGAGAGCCCAGAAACCGAATGGAATGAAGACCACCAACAGCGTATCTTGTTTGTCTTTCCTTGGTGAACAAAGTCACTTCTTGCCATGGGAAATGCTCTGAATGCTGCTACACTGAGCAAAATGGGATGGAGTTTTCCACCTCTATAAGGTTTGAATAGGGTGGGTTGAGGGGACGGGCGAGGGGAGGAAGGGCGGAGGAGGAGATTGCCTGGAATCTCCTTTCCACGAGGTAAGGAGTGAGCTGGTTAGTGCATCTTAATTCTGAAGCTTTCTTTCTTTTGTACCTTGCTCTGACTATTGCTTTTCCTGGCTTTTGAGTGCATTTCCCCGTTCCATTGGTCCCTTTGAGCTCAGCTCTTGCAGGTAGGTAGCATTTTAGAAAATGTTAGAGAAGAGTGAAATTTTAGTAAATAAGTAAATAAATTGTTTATTTTACAGGCTAAGGTGGGTGTGTGTGTTGGGGGGGAGGGTTTCCCCTTTAGTAAAGCATGTTGTCGACTTGTTATTTCTAATATGAGACGGTTCAGAGATGGTAGATGATGAGAGAAGTTAGCCGCTCCGTATCTGATAACGTGACAAAAGGAATGGATACATCTCCTGGTTTGTGAGGCATGAACTTTGCATTAGGAAAATGCAGATCCTTGGGTTGTTGGTTTGCTGGGGGGGGGGGTTTCTGTTGTTTTTTTTCTTCCTCCCTGTCGACATTCTTGCATATGGATGAGCAAGGCAGCCCACCCCTTCCTAACAGAGTGGAACTACTTACAGTCCAGGCAAAAAGCTTGCTTATACAGATTATTTTTTTTGTTTTAAATTCCCAGAGTATTAATTTTGTGATCTAAATGCACATTGGTTTGTGCAGCACACAGGTAGGTTGCTGACACAGAGGGAGAAGGGAGAGATTTTTTTTCCAGACCCTTGCTTCCCTCATCCCCTCTTCAAATTCCATTGCTTAGGCGAGCAATGAAAGCCAGAAACATTTCATTTAGCCGGGCACTGACTGATCTGTCTTTGGCCTCCCTCACAAGCAAGCGTAGAGGTTTATTATTATTATTTTTAATGCAGAAATGTGTCTGAGGGGTGTAGGAGTAGGGCATCTTGCTGACTGGCTTTAGAAAGGGTCTCTGGGCCACCGAAGCTGCCTTATAGTTTGCTATCGCTTTTACTTCATTTGGGGGGGGACTTGTGCACATGTAAACATACACATGCCAAGTCTTGCAGTGCTTTATTGTTACTGAGGTCAGCTGAAGTCCAGGGTCTGGGTTCAGTTTGGAGTGTTAAGCAGATTGCTGAGCGCTGAAACGCACCTTGGCACGTGCTGCCCCTGTCCCACCTGGTGCTTGCTCCTCTGTTCCAACACCAGCTGGAGGGCCCTTGTTGATAAGCATTAGCCTCTGGTATGGTTTGCGTTTGTTTTCAATCTGTAACAAGTTCTGTGGGAGTGTCGTAAGGACTCGGGTGTCTCCTCCCCTCCCACTTCCTGAAGCAATTTACTGTTTGGACTTCTCTGAGCAATGGAAGGGTTAGTGGCTTTGTGTGGGACCAGCATCTCGTTTCACACGTTTGCTGGTCTCTGAACACATTCCTGTTGTATTAACCAAGACTTGAATTGAGAGATTCATAGATCCGTGGTGTTCAGGCACAGGATACTAAGAGCTATGTTACTATTCTTAGTTTGTAAATTGTCCTTTTGATACCATCTTGTTTTCTTTTGTAGGTATAAATAAAAACACTGTTGTCAATAAACTGTGAATTTTGTCTTTATTGTTTTTGGAGCGTAAAACAAACGTTTGCCCCCGTTCTTCCCAGTTAAAAGGAGTCAAATCCAAGGGGGTTGGGAACATCTGTTGGCAACCCACTGAATTATAATTGAAATGTCCCTCATCTGTAGAACGTGAGGAACCCTCACTGGAGATGGGTGAGTGGGGAGGGTGCTGGAATACCTGTGGAATGGAAGATTCTTGCCGTGTGAAGGTAACGCTGACCTTAATAGAGGGGGGTTCAAGCAGAGTCAATTTTTGGAGGGCAGTGTTCACGTACCGGTGGTGTAACAGTTGAATTTTGGATGGTCCTGTGTGGAGCCAGGAGTGGGACTCAGTCTCTGTGGGTCCATTCCAACTTGGGCAGTTCTGTGGTTGCACACAGGGCCAGTGACCTTTGTATACGTTATCAGACTCACGATAACATGCCCTCCTCACGATTTGTTGGGGACTGGAGGAGTGTGACAGTTCCCTTTTGCTTCTTGTGGGTAAGGTAGAGGCATGTTATGGAGGTGAGTGCTAGGAAGAGCAGGGAGAAAACAAGCTGTGTTCCTTAGCATTGGCCAGCACTACTTATTAGCACCAATTTCAAGTGAGAAGAAACGCAACAAAATGGAGGGAGGGTCTCATCCAGGTGACAAGCATACCAGCTGTCCTGGCCTCGCTGTCTTCCTGGCACTGGAGTGAAGCCCAGCTGAGCCATTCTTCAGTCACCAAGGGCCAGGAAAGGAAAGCTGTGGTCAATAGAGTTTCATCTTTGGAATTTCTGGCGTTGTCTGGAAATGGCTTCAAACAGGCATTGGAAGGCTTAGCTTCTTTCCTTTTAGGACTGTGAAAAGAGATGGAAATGAAGGCTTGCTGGGAATATAAACTGATCCATTGTTTCTACAAGTATTCTGAATCTGATCATTTAGACCACTAGATAGCAGGCTGCCAGCTTTTCAAACCAATATTCCCCCCCCTTTCTTTTTTTTTTTTTGTGGTATGATACAATACATTGTTCTGGTCGTGGTGCACCTTCGTTACTTTTAAGGGAGAATAAATGGCCTTATGGCCAGAGCCTGCAAGCATCCCCCTGCTGATGTGCCGTGGGAAGCTTGGCTGGCAGGCCTCACAGAAACACCAGGGGTTGGAGTAGATGCTCCCTGCAGGTGCTTCCAACCTCAGCTGTTCTGTGAAACACAAGTTTTGGGGAGCTGAAGGCTTCCTTCATCCTTCAGGTCCCTGCGTTAAACAGAAAGCGGCTCATCTGGTTTTAAAAACAAGATGAAGAGAACCGGTGTTATATAAGGATCCCTTTGCGATGCTTTGTAACCTTATTAAGTAGGTTTCTTTTTATAAAGCATCCTTGCTTTCCTTACCAGAATCGCTGCCCTTTTGTCTGCGCCCTCCTGTGATAGAAATGTTTTGAAAAGATGCTTTTTCTTTTCTGCAAGCGTAAGAGAGATGCAACCTGCTACAACATTTCTGGTTGCCATAAATGACTGCCAGGCATTTGCATAGCTCCCGCCACCTTCTCCTTTCCCTTGATCCAGAACAGTTGTGTAAAAGAAGGGGGATTGGGGGGGGGGGGGGGGGGCGAAGGCAATTCTCTTCCTTCTGTGATGTCCCAGCGACAAATGTTTTTCATTTCTCCCTCCTGTGTCATCTGAGTTCCGCAGCTTTATGCCTAGTGATGTGAGACCAAAAGCCAGCAGTTGTGAGGTGTTTTTTTTTTTTTTCCTTCCCCTTTTGTTCCACCTTCCACAACTGCAAAGGGTATCGATTTCTAACAGAATGGAAGGATGCAGAACTCGTGAATTGAATGAAGCTAAAATGGGCGATGGGAGGCAAAAAAGGCATTGACGTAGGGCACCTTGATGGTGGTTTTGCAAAGTGATGTTCTAACGTCAGAGATGTTTCAATTACAGAAGAAAATCTTAATCCACCGAGGCCAGCCCTCTGTTCTACGCCATCGCCTCTCTACCAGCAGGAACAGTGCACGGAGCTGCTCAGAGCCACCCATCAGAGCCCCCAGCACAGGATCTGGTGGAATAGCTGGGGAACAGGAAAGAAGAAAATGTCTGTAGAGCGGCGTCTCATCAAATTCCTCCCTCCTCAGCAAATGAGCAGTTTGAAGCCTACTTTAGCCTCAGCACCGTAGCGTGTTCTACCAGATTGTATGCCCGTTAGCGCTGCTATGCAGCCATCGCTGGCATCTGGTTTTGGGAAACTGCGGAGTCTTGTACGTGCAGATGCCTGTCTTCCTACAGAATGAGTCCTTGGGAATGCTGTGTCTTTTACACCGAAAGGAAAAGTAGGCTTAATATTGGCTCCGTATGTCTGCAGGTGTGTTGCCTGCCTGTGGCTATTTTTTCTCCCCCCTCTGAGGTTTTTTTGTGATTCATAATCTCAGAAAGCACGTGGAAATGAATGTACCAGAAAACATTTAACTTCTCAGGGTGGGCTTAAACCAGGCTGAGCTCTGGTTTTAATTTCTACACAGACAAGGAGTGAACTCAAGGATTAACAGCTGGCAAGCTGCAAGAAGGCCAAATGACCGCATCCAATGTATACCAACACTTTCACCCACCTTTGGTAACGTAGAGATAGAAGAAGTCGCAGTAGAAGATGGTCTGTACCACCCCGGAGACCACAGCAATCTGGTCGTAGAACTTCTCGGTGTGGTAGCGCCAGACCCAGTTGGCGATATAGAGGGCACGATAGAGGCCCAGGAAGAAAAGGTAATGCGTTGTGATGGTCTCTGCTTCCCCTGTCTTGCTGATCATGAAGAGCTGAGGGAGGATAGCTACAGACTCCAGGTAGATGGAGAAGGTCCAGAGTATCTGTGAGGTGCAAATGAAGGTGGTGGTGATGATAGAATCGTCGTAGAATTGTGTGAGTTGGAAGGGACCCTTAAGGGTCATCTTGTCCAACTCCAATGACGTGGAAAGACTCAAAGCTTTACTCTTGACAGCGTGGGGAATGAGAGAAGGCAGTGCTGAGCTGCTCTACAGATTACATGCTCTTCATGGATTACCAGCCTTGCCTCTCCTGCATGCTTTTGGTATTAAAAACCCGAGCTCTTCGACATCCTGCAATCTGGGTAGTGCCAGGCTTCCCTCCCCTCTCCTGCCCCATGCTTTCCTTACCTCCAGGGGGGTGAAGCTGTGGTTCTCCAGGAAGGACAGGCCTGTTACAGGGACCAGGAGGAACTCCAGGCGAAAGGAGTCGTTCTCACTGTCAAAAGTTTTCCGGAATTTCACGTAGATCATGTACACGGTGATGTAGGCACATATCAAAAAAATGACCTGGGGGAGAGAAGTAGAACTGCAAGATCCGACCTGCGATCGCACTGCCTGTGCTTGAATAGAAGCTTGGCTTCAGTCAGCTTTGCCGAAAGCCAGGTCTGTTCACCTGCTGGGCTGTGCTGTGTTGAGATAGCAGTGAATGATTTTTCTACACTGGCTTGTGATGGGTGTTGGAGGTGCTCCTGTGGTCAACTGGAGATTGCTACTCAGCCCCTACCATGAGGGTAACTGTTGTTTAAGAACTCTAAGGCTCTCTGTTAAGATGTTGGCTTGGTGGCAGCCAACAGTTGTGCATGCCCAGCCCTCATTCACAGCATCTCAAGCTGGTCTTGGTGGTGCTAAATGTGGTGGGCTCACTTGTTTAACGCAGTGAGCGAGTTCTATGGTCAGTGGAGGGCCGGTGACACCGGAGGGAGCTCCTTTAGCTGCTCTTCCTGTGTGTAACCCACTAGCTTTGGTGACAGGCAAAGAAGATGGAGTTGCTCCTGCCTCCCTCTGGCTGAAAAACTAATGTGGTGAAACCATGGCGAAGCTGGGGGGAACGTCTGCTTCCCTGCTGCTCTCCTTACCTTCATCACGGTGTTGTAGAGGGAGATGAAGGTTGTGAACAGGTCCAGGTAGCGGGTAGTGAAGACGAGGGCAAAAAGAATCTGGCTTTTCCCCGAGATACCTGCGTGGCAAGGAGAGGAGAGACAGGCAAGGCGGGTGAGAGAAAAAGACCCTTCAGATGTGGGTTTTGCCCTGTGCTTTTTTTGAGATCACTTGTGTTCATGTGTTTCTCCAGAAGCCAGGAACTCACCATCACAAAGCCCTCGTCCTAACACGCCTGCCCATCTCATTGTGGCGAATTGCTGTGGGACTGGGGACTGGCCCACGTGTGTTGGTGCTGCTGTCACCACTGGTGGGGTGGCAAACATGGCTGAGCACAGCTGAGCCCATCCTCTCACCTACCTGCAAGCCTCTTGCTCTGTAGGAAGCAACTGCTCTGCATGCCTTGCCCAAACAGGGCCTCTAGCCTGAAGCAGCATTCTGTCTGCGTCTTTTCACCAGAGGTCATTGCTTTTGGTGCCACCAAACCTTCTCGTGGTCACTTTCTGCCTTATCACCCTCCTCCCCTCTGCTTCGCTGTCACACAGACACCTTCCCCGTGGCTGTGTGCTGTGCCACATCACATCCTTCCAGCACATCCTTCTGCCTCCTGGCGAGGAAGCTATCCACCAGGCTGTGGAGTGCTGCAAACCACAGCAAAGCCTGGTGATGGGCTTGAAAGAAAAAAAAAACCCCAGGATGTACCAGAAAGGGATGGGAGAGAAGCTGGAGAAGAAACTGGGAGGCAGCGTAAGGGAGGAAGGAAGTGGAGCCTGATGCCTCTGAAGAGCTGAGGAGTAGGGTCCCCTCCTCGCCCAGAGAGCACTCACCAGCACAGGACTTGGACCTGTGGATCTTCACCAGCAGGATGATGATGGCCAACAAGTGGGAGACGTCCCCCAGGATGCGGAAGATGTTCATGGCGGCGGTGGGCGAGGGCAGCTGTAAAACCCCGCGGGGAGCTCCGTCCTCAGCCGAGCGTAAGCTTTCCTCCGGCTGAACTTTCCCTTCTCTCAGAGTCCGCAGCTCTCTTCTCTCCGCCTTCCCGAGGCTCCACGTCCCCTGCCCCAACGTCCCTGGACTTTTCTCTCTCCCAGAACTGCGTCCCCGTCGCCGCCTTTCCCTTCTGTGCAGGGCCTGTGCAAAGTTAGGTTTTGTCCTCTCAGCAGCCCCGGAGCAGCGCTGGGTGACGTGGCTCCTGGCTGGCTGGGGAGGAGAGAAAGGAGGAGGCGGAGGCGGGAATAACTGCACTATTTTTCCCTTTCCCCCCCCCTTTCTTTCTTTTTTTTTATACCCCTTCCTCTCTTTTTCCTCACTTGTCTCAAGTTACACGCGGAAGCATCCTTAAAGGAGAGAAGGCGGAGGGAAAGGGCCATCCATCCTGCGGGCTGGGATGCCGCTGCAGCATCTTGTGCCGTGTTGGCAGTCCCGTGGCCCCATCGAGCAAGGATGTGACATACCGGGCTGCCGTCACTTCGTGTCCCATCCCACCAGCGCAGCGCGTTAAGTACAAGGCTGTGCACAAGGAGTGTAAGTGCTGCCATCCTTAGAGGTTTAGGAGAAGGGATCTGAGGAGGGATCGCTACACAATTTAACCATATTCAGAAACATCAGTGGCCGATCTTGTAACAGCCCTTCTTCTCCAATGGGTTTTCACGGTGCTGAGATGGGATATGGATGCTCCATGTCCCCACTTTTAACCCTAGATGGTTCCCTCACGCCTCCCTTCCTTGGCTCATCCTTATGGGCTTGCCTGGAGTATCGTCCCTAATGATTAAAGTGTAAAAATATTATTCCCAGTGCTTACTAACAAGTCTATTAGCATCGCCAGATTCCTTTTGGAATGCATTTGCATACATTTCCTCCCAGCCCATCATGCTGGCTGTGTGTTTTCCCTCCCAGCCGCTGTAGCACCTGCCGTGCTGGGCTTTTCCAGCCGTATTTGCAGGTTGGGTAGGAAAACACCCATGGATCCCCATGGAATGGGGACTGCCACCTACTACCCATGGGCATGCTGAGGCTGGGGTGGGGACAGCCTCTGCTGTGGAATCACTGAATCGTTTGAATTGGAAGAGGCTTTTAGAGGTCATCTGGTCCAACTCCCCTGCAATGAACAGGGACTCCTACAGCTAGATCAGGGTGCTCACAGCCCTATCCAGCCATCCCTGGTCCTCTTTGCTTCTTGTCCCGAATGTGGTGGACCCAATCAACACCACTGGAAGGCCACAGTAAGGCCACCAACTGCAGGTGGCAGAGGTTTGTCCTCTTCCTCTCATGCCTTCCCAAGACCTAAGGAGAGCTGATATCCAGTGGTGCTACTGGGAACCACCAGGCTCCAAGTGGGACTTCACAGGAAGGCCAATGGGTTGGCAAAGGGCATACGGATGCTTAGAGAAGGAGAATCTGGCACACCAAGTGGGAGTGAGCAAAAATAGACCTTCCCTCCTCCTTCCCTGTGTTTTGCCCTGGGTGTCTCCCTGCCTCCTGAAATAATGCTGGGCGCTGCCCCCACCCCGCACCATGATGCTCTCTCCATGCCTCCTGTTTCCATGGCGACCATAAGGAATGTCGCCAGGGTGACAGGGAGGAGAGCAAGCTGGGATTTGGCATTAGAAACGGGAATTTGGGGTTGTTGGGTTTCTTTCTTCTTTTTTTTTTTTTCCCCTTCAGTTCTATTTTTGGGTTCCTATCTCTGCCTGTGCTGGTTTGGGATGCTTGCTCTCCTGCAAGTCCAGCCTCTATTGAGGACACAACAATCCAGTGACACCAGGTTCACCCTTCTTGCTAAAGCATTCTTCTCTCACTGGACTTCTGTGATTTGCCCCCTAGTCATTCCCCCTCAGCTTCTGCTTTGGGTCACATCCAGGCCCTCATGGTGGAGAACAAGACCTGTGGGCCATCTCCAGCTGTGCTGTGGATAGTAGAAGTAGGCGTGGAGGAGCTCAAGGGCTTGTGCTGTCTTCAGTCAGTGTGGTGAGAAAGCAGGTCCATGGTTGCCCAACCAGGGGCTGTTGGCATGGTGGTGGCTCTAGGCTTCATTCCCAGACAGGAGAAGGGTCAGGTAGTACCAGCTCACCTTCTGAGGAGCTCCTGCTTCCCATCCATCCATCCATCCATCCATCCATCCATCCATCCATCCATCCA